AAAAAAAAGAAAAAGAAAACAACAGCAAAAAAGAAATTGGTTCCCAGGATGCAGCAGATAGAATGATCAGATATATTGTACCCATTAGGAAGGACTTTATAGTAGAACTGTAAAGACTTCTGGCTCTGGGGAGAGGCAGATCTGAAGTTCAATTCCAGCCCCAACCCTTATTAGCTGTGTAATCTTAGGCAAGTGATAATAACTGTGTGCACCTCAATGTCCTAGTCTATAAAATGGAGATGGTAAACATGTTACATATCTGGAGGGAGCATTTGTGTGAGGCCAGCCTAAGTTGTCAGCTCTGGTCTGCAACGAGCGGCTGCAGCTGAGGGTCCATACGTATTTCCTGCCAGGATGAGAACTCAAGACCCAGAGCTAGTCTTGCTGCCTCCTTTTATCCTGCCCCTGAGAACCCTGGCAGTAGCAGGATTTCAAGGTTACCTGAATTGTAAAGGACTCTTCAGACCTGAGTCATACCTCCTTCCTACCAGGCACGGTGGAACCTCTGTGTCACTCTGAGATCAGCACCACTCACCCCTCGCTCCCATCTGTTGCTAGGGAGAATGGTTGTGGTGGATGAAGATGTTGCTAGTCTTGAGCTATCTGAAAAGATAGGGTACCTCTGACTTGTGAGGGAAAGAGAAATTCCCTGGGAACATACAAACCATGTGTAGGGGATAGGGGTGAGCTAGTGTCATTCCTGTCCAAGGAATCTACTTCAACATTCACTAAGAGTTTCAAATCCCTTAGCTGGGAGTGGTGGCTCACGCCTGTAATCCCAGCACTTTGGAGGCCGAGTTCCCTTATCATCCTATCGCCATCCTCATTAAATTCTCAGGCATTTCTGAATCCACTTTTGTGCCTATCGCCAAGCTCAGTGTAGCTCCTGGAATCAGACTGTCACATCCTCAGATTAACACTAAATAAGCATTGTATGCATGGTATGGACAGCATTTAATTTTTCCTGCCCTTTCTTCAGTAGCAGAGTAATGCATTTTAGCAGATTCTAGTAGTTGCTATTTCTTGAGAGTCCGTGGGAGTCTACAGTGGACTAACCCTGTGTTAATCACTCAAACACAGGATACACTTGGAAAGACAGGTTTTATTATCCCGAATTTACAAACCTCAATTTCGTTACATGTCACATGCAGATAATAACACCTACATGGCAGGGTGCCATGAACACGAGAGACATGTAAGAAGTATAGGCTTTGGGCCGGGCACAGTAGCTCAAGTCTGTGATCCCAGCACTTTGGGAGGCCGAGGTGGGCGGGTCACCTGGGGTCAGGAGTTTGAGACCAGCCCGACCAACATGGAGAAACCCCATCTCTACTAAAAATACAAAATTAGCCAGGCGTTGTGGCGCATGCCTGTAATCGCAGCTACTCAGGAGGCTGAGGCAGGAAAATCGCTTGAACTTGGGAGGCGGAGGTTGCAGTGAGCCAAGATTGCACCATTGCATTCCAGCCTGGGCAACAAGAGCAAAACTCCATCTCAAACAAACAAACAAACAAAAAAGAGTATAGGCTTTGGAGCCAGTCCCTGGGAATGTGACCTCTGGCTCCACCACTAACTAGCTGCCTGACCCTAGGTGAGCTGCCTAATGTTCCAGGTTATTTCCTCATCTAAAATATGTAAAAATGGCAATACCGTATGGGGTTAAGATGAGGATTCAAGGAACCAATGCCTTTAAAGGGCCTGATACATGATGTTTGGCACACAGTACGCTCTTGAAAACAGCAATTTTCCAGCCTGGGCAACATGGCAAAACTGTGTCTCTACTGAAAATTAAAAATTTAGCCAAGTATGGTAGCCTGCACCTGTGGTCCCGGCTATTCAGGAGGTGGGAGAATTGTTTGAGCTGGGAAGGTCAAGGCTACAGTAAGCCATGATTGCACCACTGCATTCCAGCGTGGGCGACAGAGCCAGACCCTGTCCGAAAAAAATATATAACAATTTTAATGATGGTTATTGTATAAGTACTATAGAAGGATCAGGAAGAAGAAGAAGATTCAGCAAGGGAGAACGAGAAGTGGGCATCAAAAGGTCACGAAGCGAGAACTGTGAGAGAGGGATGCCATGGAAACGGAGGGACAAGATGCCAGGAAGGAGGGAGATTGTGCAAAAGGGCACTCAGAGATTGGTTTCTTCTGACAAGATGAAATAGCAATTTCTCATCTCTTAGCGACCAGTGAGAATGAAGGCAGAAAGGGAGAAAATAAGCCCTTAGCTTTAAATGAAGGCTATCCAACACAAAATTCTCTAAAAGCCTTTTGGGTAACTCTATTTGTCCGATCTGAATGCGCAGGTATCCAATTAGGAAGAATACATATTTCTTGAATAAAATCAAAGCCAGTGTCACACAAAGTTTTTTTTTTTTTTAAAGGAGGGGGTGAAAAAGGATGAGTCACAAAACAGGGTTTCAAAGCAGTGAAAGCAATGGTCTATACTAAACATCCAAGCTCACTGCAGTGAAAGGGAAGGTAGTGGTATGGATAGGATTTATTCATTTTTCTTTTTATTTCTCTACTCCCCCTGGTAATAGAAAGAAATAACGGCATAATCTGTGTCTTTGGGCAAATCATTCAACAAGTGTTTATAGAGTAAAACTGAAAACGTGAGCAGGAAATGGAACAATATTCGAATCTGGACTAGATGAGAAGGGTAGATGTCACCCAGGAGTAGATTTAGGGAGGAATTAGGGGTTAAACCCTATGCAAGCTGGAGAATGTTGGGGGCCTCTGTGGCTTTGGGGCCTGAGTGGAGCTGCCTCCTGTCTGGGGGTGCACAAGAGGACTCTTTTCGCTCTGGAGAAACTGAGATTGCTGACAGCGGTCCAGAGATGCTCCAGAAGGATGCGAGGAGTGGCTCTCTTGAGCCTTTGCTCCTGACTCAGTTTTTGGCTAAAGGATCAGAAACAGATACCTGGCGCGGTGGCTCATGCCTGTAATCCCAGCACTTTGGGAGGCCAAGGTGGTTGGATTACCTGAGGTTAGGAGTTCAAGACCAGCCTGGCCAACATGGCGATACCCCGTCTCCACTAAAAATACAAAAATTAGCCAGGCACAGTGGCATTTACCTATAATCCCAGCTACTTGGGAGGCTGAGGCAGGAGAATCGCTTGAATCTGGGAGGTGGAGGTTGCGGTGAGCCGAGATTGCACCACTGCACTCCAGCCTGGGTGACAGAGTGAGACTCTGTCTTAAAAAATAAAAATTAAAAAAAAAAAATGGGAGCGGGGATCAGTGGCAGAAGGGCCCTCCCAGTCTCCTTACGGTCATGAGGGTAAAGGAGGCTGAGGCTTAAGGCAAACATTGAATGTTGGGGGAGGAGGGAAGGGAGACTGGGCAGAGCACAGGAGACTGAGCCTCCACACCCTCCACCAGCAGCTGGGTGTGTCTCCTAGGGTGGCAGGTCAGATGGCGCGGTCATGAGTGGAGCACAGGCAATAAACCAGGGAGTAGCCAAGTGGCTCTTTCTGGAAAGAGAAGCACTTAAAGCCAGGTTCTTGGTATGTCAGCCCAGGGAAGACTTCTTGTAGTGCCTGGCTACCACTCCTTCCTTGGGGCCTCAGCCTGAACCCCCTTTGTCCCTAGTGAGTGGACCAACAACTGCCAACATAATCAGAACCCCAATAGCCCTCCCTGGGGCCTTCAACCTGAGGCATTTCTGGTACAACACAACCCAGAGACCGGTTTGAAACCCTAGGATCTATGATGTCTCCCAGGCTCCCCTTCTCAGTCAATGTAGTTATGAATTGACTGATCACAGCACTCTCTCCTCTCCCCTGCCCATCCAGCCCTGTGCTTCTCTCCCACACAGCAGCTCTCACTGCTGCAAAGTCTATCCTCTCAGCTCAGAGGAGCCCCTATTTCTGGCTAGACAGACTCCCCAAGGGCTCCAAATCTGCATATTCATTTCATACTTGACCCCAACCTCGCCTTCAGTGCAATCATCTCCACCCCACTCCCTAGCCTTGTCCTGCTCACAAAAATAGGGACCTAGGCACCTACAAAAAACATAGGGACCTTTGCAGCCTGAGGTCACACACAAGTCCTCTTTTATCACCCTCCAGGATGAGACAAGGAGGTGGTCCCTCTTTTCTCTCCCTCTGCCGTGAATGTCCTTCTCTGCTCACATAACGCTCAGGGCTTCCTGGCTTTCTGATCCCCATGTTCCTTCACATGCCCCAGCAAATAAATTGCTTTTTGTGCCTCCCAAGCTAACTTGGAGTCCGTGGGCTGCCGGGGTCCTCTAGCGCATAGCTTCAGAGTTTACAGGGGGAGGGTCTGGTGCCATCAGGAGCTAAGCCTGCTAATGCTGAGCTACCATGAGTGGCTGCTCTCTTCCTTAATTGGGGAGGGGGCAGAAGGTGGTGTCAGCCCACAGGAGAGACTCCTTGTTGTGACAAGGACGTTGTCCAGAGGCAGCCACAGCAACAACGATCTAAGGAATCTGCCCAGACAAAGAACTGCCCAGCCCCAAAGTGAACAGAAATGAGCCCCTGATATCCCCATATTGGGCTATTATCTTAGCACCAGACTCCCCCCTCCCCCATCAGACTCCTGGGTATGTCAGAGAAGAAAGCATTGGGGTTTTGTCAACAAGTGGGTGTCAGGAGTTGGCTCTTTGAGTGAAGGGACAAGTTGGTTGTGGTAAGGGAGCTCTGTCCTTTAACCTTTGGGAAATATCTCAGCCCATTTCTTATTTTTTTCCTCATCTGCAAAATGAGGTTGATTAAAAACCCCACCTCAGAGTACCATCCCCCTTTATAGTTTTTTACTGTATTTTCTGTTTTTTACTTCCTAAAATAACAGCACAGACACATTAAGATAGATGCTGATATATTTATTTATTGACATAGAAGCTCACAACATATATTGTCTGGTGAAAAAATACAGAGTATAGAACAGCACTTATATTTCATCACTTTTATCTATACATATATCTATCTGGGTACATAGGTATAGGAACATATCTAGAAGGGCACTCACCAAAGGGTTGACAATAAGGGTGGAGAGATTTGGGTAATTTGTACTTCACTTTTTGTACTTTTTTATAGTTCAAAGATTTAACAATAATTTATACCACTTTCACAAAGAGAATAAAGCTGTCAAGGGAATGGGCACACACAAAAAACAGACCCTTAGGCTGCAAGGAGAAGGAGCAAGGACAGAGGTCAGGCTATCTCCCTCCAATGTGCTATTATCCAAGACCCTTTCTCCTCCACCCCAAAAGATAGCCGCTTTGTGGATTAATTCATGCAGTTAGAAGCGGAAGCCCCACCCCACCCCCGCCCCTCCCCTCACCCCCACCCCACCCCACCCGTTTTCCCAGTGCTGGATGCTGAATATAGGTAAGGGTTTACTGAAACTTGGGGGCTGGTCCCTTACAGAAGCTGAGAGAAGATATTGTATCGGCCAAGGGCCCCTCTGGATCGCTCCATCTCAGTATGGGTCAGCTCCTGCAGGGTGATGATCAAATTCTCAAAAACCTGGGCCCTGTCACTCTCGTTGTCACAGGTTTCTTTGGAGTGGCCCTCCTCACCACAATAGGAACAGCGGAGAATGTGTTTTCGCTTCCTGGCTCTACGCATCTGCATCTCCCCAGGACCATTATTCTTAAAGCCAGAACCACCACTGGTGGAAGGAAACTGAGCCCTGGAAGTTTGGGGGGAATCAATGACCAGCACTTCATCCTGAGGTCTGGCCCTGTTTCTGAGGGAAGGGGCACCCCAGGATGGAAGTGGAGGGTCCTGAGACTCCACCAGGATCACATCCTCATCAGAGTCGTCGTCGAGGGTATCATCAATCTCTATCACATTGCAGTCAGCACTGCCCATTAATATTGGCGAGGAGCCCTGAAATGCCACGGGGCTGACTGCCCTCTCCACCATTGACTCAGACCTTTTGGACCGCTTACGATTAACAGCATCATCATCATCCCAATCGTCTTCCTCCCTCACCATTCTGATTAACTCCAGGAAAGTGGGAAGCTGATCCTGCTCATTTGCATACATCCTGAGAAGCTCTTTAAGTCTGAGGCGGAGGTCCCTACTAAGGTCAGCGCCTAAAAGGAACTGCTGCAAGCGAATCTGGTTTGCATCTTTCTCAGCTATGATGCCTGCCTGAATAGCATTCTGGAGCTGCACCTCTAAACGGATCACATAAAGGTAGGTTTTCTCCCCTTGTGCCTGCAGGGTGTTAAAAAATTTACCATGGGCAGTCATACTGCTTTCAGACTCCCCAAACACCAATTTCATGGCCCGCAAGAAATCTGCTACACTTAGGTTGGGGTTGGCAGCCTGAAGCAAACGCACGACCTCCCGGGCAGGACCCCTAAGGGTTTTCATCAGGCGCTTGAGTTTTTCCTCCTCAGACTTACTCCAATCTGGCAGGACCCCATTGACTTGGATCAGCCAGTTTTCAAAGATTTCTTTCCCGTGGGCTGGCACTACCCTCCTCGAGAACAACTTCATGTTTCTCTCTGCCATGTTGACCATTAAAGGACCGAGACTCCTCTCCAGAGACCTCAACATGTAATGGGCCCAAGGTGGCAAAGGTGCATTCTGCCTCCGGCTGTTACCCACACGTGCAATGATGCTAGCCATGACTGACAGCGAGAGGGTATCTGAATATTACAAGGGGCCCAGGCTTTTTAGAAAAGCGTAATCTGCAGGTGGGAGAGGAGAGGAGGCGGCTCGGTCTTCCTATCTCAGCAGGGGCTGTAAAAGAGAAGGGGGGGGCTGTTAATAAAGGAGCGGGCTGCAGCTGCATTCTCCCTACCTGAATATCCTGTAGTACATTTTATATTTGCCCACTACCCTAAAAATAATCCCGCAAGAGATTGGCACTTACAACCTCCCAGAGCTACCTGATGCCTGTGTGCTATCAAGGTGCTTTTTGCAGACACATCCGTCCCTCCCATCAGTCCTCTAAGAGGGATGGCAACTGTTGCTCCAAACAGTGTCTGGAGCTGATAATGGGCTCTCCAAATAGAGTACAATGATCACAGTTTGTGGAAATAAAATAAGATCTGGTCTCAACCACACCCCCTTCTCAAAGTGCTCCCCCATCCCTCTCGTTATTTCTCAGATTCTTACACGAGCTCAGAAACAAGAGCACACCTTTATTTCCAGTCTCCAACCAGTGCTCTCCGAGAGAAAGCTCGTCTCGGGGGGGAGGTCAACCTCTGTCCACAGGGGGTGGCAGATCCGGGTCCTGGAGGTTTCAAGATTGCGCCACAGCGGAGAAGGCCAGAGAAGGGGGGGTGTTAGAAGCAGCTTAAACCGTCATCCTGCTACCCACCGCCTCCGCTGTTGCCAGGCGGAAAATTCTCTGCCCCCTCCTGAATATAAGCCAGAGACTAGCCCCCCCCCCCCCGCATTACATTTCCCCCTGGAAACCGTCGTCAGCCTACCAGCTCTGCAATCAGCTGTACAGAATTCAAGTTCAGATGCGGCTTTGATGGCCTGCCACAGAGAAAAGGAATAAGAGTTGGACACACCCACTCACATATTCCTCCCAGAAACAGATGAGGAGATGCAAAGGAGGCTCCAGGCAAACAGCTTGAGATTCCTCCCCCCACTACTCCTCGCGTCTCCCCCCGCCCCCAAATCCAGGCAAATCCTACCCAGTCCGCAGTATCCAGGTGAACCCCACCTCCTCCCTCAGCGCAGCCTGCCCGAGAGCGCTCCTACCCCTGCCTCGCAGTCACCGATTCTCCAGGCGGGGAGCCGCCCGGTACTGGTGGGTCTTCCCCGACCCCTCTCCGCGCCGGGCTATCGCTCCCTGCTTCTTTACCTGCGCCCCGCTGGTGGACAGCTAATGCTCCCGCGTCGCCAGCTGTGGATTCCGCCTTCTGGTCTCCTCCGCCCTGCAGGGGAAAAGAACCGGAGCCTCCTCGGCCGCTAAGCGATCCGGGGCTGCTCAAAGGAGCTGCTTCGCAGGGCTGCCCAACCAGGGGTAGCCGAGACGAGGCAGCGCGGTTCCTAAGGCAGCGGCGGCAGCTTTTATCTCTGCGGCTGAGACAAAAGAGCGTGACGAGTGGGCTAGTGCGGCCAATCAGCGAAGCGCGGGGGCGGACGGCCCGCACAGCCTTGGGCAGGGATGAGTGTTCCGGGCGGGAGGGCGGTCGGGCAGGCGGAGGCGGGAGGGCACAGCAGGCCCGCGGAATCTCAAGTGCCCCTTGATTAGACCGATGGAGGCAATCTTCCTGTTACCCGGCAATTTGCTACTCTTTCTTTCTCGCCCAACCCTTCCCTTCTACCGGGGCTCAGCTCTGCATCTTAGGCCAGATGCATTAAACACAAAGTGGGTCCAAAATCAAGTAAATAATAAAAGTTCTTCGCTTTGGTATAGGGGAAAGAGGGAGAAGAGGGGAAGGGGCGGGAAGAGCATTAGCCCTTGCATTGTGCAAATAGGCTTTACAGACAGCTCTTTTATTGTGAAGGAAGTGGCAGTATGCCCATTTAACAGAGAGGGCAGTTGGAGCACCAAGGCTCTCAACCAATACCCATTCGAGTATGGGTGCAAGACATCAGAGTCATTTGGGAGAGCTTGTCAGAAATGGAGGCTTCTGGGCCTCAACTCTGGTGGATTCAGATTGACTAGGCCTAGGGGTTGCGGTGTGGTTTTGTATTTAGTATTTTTTTAAACTGCATTTTAACTAGCGCTGCGGTTGGTTCTGAGGTGTAGTGAGGTTTGTGAATAAGTAAATGAGTCTGTCTCAAATATCTGTCCACAGTTATCTGTGATGAAATGCAACTCCAGAGCAGATGTGCCTACCTGGAATCCATGATCTTCCTGAAATTTTAGGCAAACATTTTGGACTCTGTGTGAGCCTAAATAATGCCCCACCCCCACCCCCAATATATCAAGCCCTAATCCCTGAAAGCTGTAAATGTTACCTTATGAGGTAAAACGGTCTTTGCAGGTGTGATTAAGTTAAGGCTTTTGACTTGAATTTCCAGGCAGGCTGAAATCCAAATCCCAAGTGTCCTTATAAGCGAGGCAGAGGGAGAGCCGGTGCACCAAGAAGAGAAGGCAATGACCAGAGATTAGTGATGAAGTCATAAGCAAAGGAATGCTAGCAGTCACCAGAACCTGGAAGAGGCAAGGAATAGAGCACAGTCCTACTGACATCTTGAATTCAGCCCAGAGAAACCGATGTTAAGCTTCTGGCTTGTAGAACTGTGAGAAATTAAACTTCTCTTGTTTTAAGCCACCAAGTTTGTGATACTTTATTATGGTGCTGTCTTTGTTTGGGCTGCTATAGCAAAATACCACAGACTGGGTGGTTTATAAACAACAGAAATATATTGCTCACAGTTCTGGTGGTTGGGAAGTACAAGTTCAAGGTGCCAGCAAGGTTGGTTTCTCCTGAGGCTTCTCTTCTTGGCTTGCACATGGCTGCCCTCTTGCTGAATCTTTTCATAGCCATCCTCTCTGTGCATATGTGCCCCTGGGGTCTCTCAGTGTGTCCAAATTTCCTCTTCTGATAAGGACACAAGTCAGATTGGAGCCTACCCTGAGGGGCTCATTTTTCCCTTAATTACCTCTTTAAAGGCCCTATCTTTAAATACAGTCATGCTCTACAGTACTTGAGGGGTTAGGACTACAACATATGAATTTGGGGGGACATAGTTCAGCCTGCAGCACTCCATTTTCCCTTACTTCTGGTTCTGGGAAAGCAAGTCTTCCTTCCCTCATGTAAAGTGTGGTTAAGAGACTCCTGTGGGGACTTTGGGGAGGTCAAGACCAAGTGCACTTGGACCGTCCAAGTGCAAAGGAGTTGCTTATTCTTGACTCCTGATGCTTGGAAGTGAGTGAACAGTCTGATACCTTTCAGCTGCTATTAGGTTCAGCTTCAGCCTGCCAAAGTACTTCTGCTCCTTTCTGCCTTCTTATTTCCAACCTCAATACCTAGAATTCCTTGGAGTAAACAATCTACATCTAAAGACAAAGCATCTTCATCTCAGAGGCATGACCTTTCTCTTGTGGATGGAACACTGGAAGGGTGATGATGGTGGGTGGAGGATTTTGGAGGTGCAGAGAAGGCAGGTTGCTTACTGCACACAGTGGGGGGTGATGCTGGCAATAGCTTAGGGCTATTCTTCAGACTCTTGCTTTTGCTCCCCAGTGCTACATCCTCTGACTCTGGCCTCTAAACAGAATCTTGTTCTGCATTTAAATTGGCTTCATCGCCAAATCAGGTAATCTGTAGTTGGACCTGGTGACATCAAAAAGGACAAAGACTGTATCTCAGAGCTGTGTAAAAAATTTTGATTGTGTAAAGGTGCCTGGGTTGGGTCATCAGAACCAAGCGAAGTCTCTTCATACAGGGCTTGGAGGGGCATTTGATAAACTGGCTCCAGTTGGATACAGAGCATACCTTATCTCTGGCCTCATATTATAGGAGAGGTGTTGTGGG